ATGAAAAATAAACAAACTAAATTTAAAAAAAAATTTTGTTTATACTTCATTTCCAAAATCATTAATAGATTATTTAAAAAGAGTCCAGATTCAAACCTCATCCAACAACCTGTTAAAACGGACAACTATTCATAATGATGGAAGTTTTAATATAACTGTAACTCCTCAATATGTAATACAAAATTAAATATGAGATAGTAAGGAGGAAGGCAAAAAGTAACAAAAAGCTGGGTGAGCAACAAGGGATGCTGAAGAAATTAAAGCACTTGGCTGCAAGCCCAAAATGAAGACAAAAGGGCAACAGAGAAATCATGAGTACGATGCGAGTTCAAGAGGCGGCTGAGGCAATGTGGGCAACGAGAAGGTGGGTCCAGGTGATAGCAGCTGTGTAGAATCTTGCCCCAACAATGGCGAGGACATGGGAAAGGTGAGAGCAGAAAGGTGCTAGGTGAGCAGAGAAGCAAGAGGGGAGTAGAGGAAGACAAGGTCAATCTTTCTATTACTTCATTTAAAAAGTCTTCTGCTTTTAGCTCATTTGAGTTGGATTAAAAAAGCTGAAAAATAAACAGATAGAAATGTTACAAAAAGAGCAGATAAGGTAAATGGCCAGTTTAGATACATCCATTTTTATTAAAATGTTTTTTTTAAAAAAGAAATAAATGTGCTCTGCTTTTAACATGCACTTCATTCCATAAAACAAAGTCCCTTTGCTCATTTGTAGACACATTTAATGCTTAACGCAGTCCATGTAAACAGCATTAAGATAGCAAGGAAAACAGCGAGTGCCAACTGAAACAGTAAGCTTTTCATGCTTCTACACAAAGAACCATTCACAGCAACACATAACTGTGTGTTATAATCAGTGTGCAAAAATTAGAACCGACACTAAAAAGACACCAGTGGAAGGGTACGCTAATCTTCTAGTCTTTCAGGTCTTCCAGGTGGAATGGCATAACATTGCAGCAACATGCAAGGGGGTCTAAGATTTCTAACGACATCCCAGATTCATCAGCATTACCTTAGCTTCTGTCACCTTGGTGACACAGGTCAATGACATTCTGAGAGCTAAAATCACCTACGAACAACTCACAACAAAAATGCAAGCTGAAAAGCTGATTCTTTACCCTATCTAACTCTTTCATTAAACCATTAAACAGCTTTAGTTTGCTTGGCACCACAGTCTACACTCTTGGTGGCACCAGCAGCCAGGAAATGAAAAGGCGTATTGCAGTGGGAAAGTCTGCTGTTAGGGACCTCGCCAGAGTACTGAAGAGCAATGATGTCATTCTAGAGACTAAGGTGCGTCTGATACAGGCCATAGTCTTTGCAATCACTTGCTATGCGTCAGAGAGCTGGACAATGACTAGGGAAGATAGAAAAAGAAGGGATGCCTTTGAGTTGTGGTGCTGGAAAAGAATATTGAATATACCATGGACTGCTAAGAAAACGA